AGGAACCTTCCAGCTCCTTGGTCTTCCTTTAACTTCATCAAAGGAAAGCTCAGAGAACTCTCCTTGGTCATCAAGGAGAGCAGCTTATTGGCTGTAATTGAAATGACAGTCCAACAGCCAGGCTCTGCTGTACCTGGGGAAAAAGGGGGAAGCTGTTCAGCAGTCAAATGGAAGCAACGTTGAATACTTATGTGTGTGTGTGTATGTACAGTGCACCAGGGAATAGAAAACTGGACTCTCTCATCACTGCAAGTCTTCAAGGCCAGGTTGGATGGGGCTTTGTGCTACCTGCTCTAGAGGAGAATGACTCTGTCCATGGCAGACGGGGTTGGAATTAGATGATCTTCTGACTATGACCTCATGGCTTTCTCCTAGATCATATCACACATGGAGGGTGGCACGGGTATCCAGCCAGGGTCCTCATGTGGGATTGTCAGCGTCTGGGATCTCTGGGATCCAGGCACAGGGCATATCTGCCCTATATATATGTCCACTGTCAGTCCACACTGGGTCCTCACAGCTGCCCACTGCTTCATCAATGCCATGTAAGAAGAGTTAGAGAATGAGGATATCCCCACAGCACCAGCAGCTGCCCTGTCCCCAGTGCTGCATGCAACTCCCATCCCATTTCCTTGCATCTTGCCCAGCGCCTGAGAGACTGCTCAGGAGAAGACTGGGTTCATGCCACTGATTCCTTGCTGCTGCTGCCAGTCATCTTCTCCTGCCAGTCTGCCATGACTGGGAGAGAGGGTGGTTAGGCAAGCCCCACACCAGGCAGCACCACCAAGGGACAAGAGACCTCCCCACAGGCTGGTATGCCACCATAGAAAAAGAAGATGGTGGTCAGCTGGGTGGCCAGACAGTGAACAATTGAAGTTGCATTACTTTAAATTTAAATTGTATTAAATAGTATTAAAATGTTTAAAATCTAATTTTATTTCATTGTGTAAACTTTATGTTATATCTGTTTAAATTTGAATTGCATTAAGTTGTATATGAGCTATATTAATTTGAATTTTATTAAACTGAATTAGATTTTAACATGTCAGCAACAAAGAGAGGTCTGTATTTTCTGCTCTGAAGCTATTCTACATGTAAATTCTATAAAATCCTGCTGGCTTGATTTTTGCTCGAGCATTCCTGAACTCAGTGATCACTCCATCCTCAGTTGGGAAGAATTTAGCCTCACATTGCCTTCTGTCCAGCTCTGTATGTTCACTACAGATATTGGCACCATCTACAGTGGAAAAGTGGTGTCTAACACCTTAAGCCTGCAACAACTACAAGTGCAAGAAAGACAGTACTAGAGAAACATGAGAAAGAAAAAAAAAGAGTGCAGATGTTGCCTTGTCGTTAAGAATGCAAATCTTTTACTGTCCTCTGGGCCCTAAGGATGATTTTTGTCCCCATTAGATGGTAATTGTTTTTTTGAACTAACTGCAGAAAGCTGGGCAGTAAAGAGTTAATGCATTGCAATGCCTCAAACACCAAGCGGGCAACTTAGAACAGGATGTGCCTGGAAAGGGGGTTTGTATGAAGGTAAGGTAGCACCTTTCTGGGGGCAAATTTCCTGTTCTGGTATATGGTGACTACACAACACTAAGGACAGCTCAAGTGCAGAAGTAGGGTCAAGGAGTGAGCAGGACCAATAGAGGGGAATCAAGACCACCAAAAGACCCTCAAGGCCCTCCAGCCCATTTCCAGAAAGGTCCAGAAGACTGTATTGCACATGCTCACTTATTTGCATGAAGAGTGAGAAACTTAATCCCGGGATGAGGAAAATTTATCTATAAAAAGGTACCCCCACAGAGCCTGGGTGGTGCACTCCCAGGACCCTGGACACCCTGTCGGTTGGATCAGTGCTGGACCCAGGAATGGTGATAGTCTTTCCTCTTGCCCAGAAAAACAGACAGGGCTATGGGGACAGAGTAGAGCTGCCCTATCTGTCATAATGCCCAAGAGAGTGTCTCTTATGTGATACATACACGTTAATACAATGGCCACGAATTCTACGTGGTCTGGATCCTGCTTTGGGCCGAGAAGAAACCAGAGTGCCCACTGTGCAGAAGACTGATAGAGTCTGTCAGGTTTTCTCTGCAGGAACAGAAGTATCTGGAGTGTGTCATCACACTCCCTGAAGAATCACCAGAGGGCAGCAGCCAAGCAGAAGGAGCTCTTGGCCTCCTGGATGGAAACAGCTGCCATCGCCCTGCAGGGTCCCCTCCCTCTTCTCCACAGTGGACACTCTCCCCAGCTGAGCAAGGGGCTGCAGGGACTGGGGCCGTGGCTGGCCTCCTGCCCAAGGTCTGGGCACAACTCTTCAAAAAAAAGGAGCATCTCCTTGACCCTGTGCTGCCCTGGCTGCGCCAGAGGCTGGAGGCAATATTTGGGTCCCGATGGTGGCTGGCAGTGAGAGCAGAGAAGAGCATCTTGTACATCCTGTGCCTCTGGGGTCCAGACAAGGAGGTCATGCTCCAGATGCTGCAGCCTCTCCTTGAGCAATGTACAGAACAGCTGGTTGATGGCATCATCAGCATCATTGTGGGTCAGTGCAGCGAGGAGGCCCAGAGGCTGCTGCACTCCCATGCTGCTGGGGAGGAGGACAACAGCCCTGAGGCCAGCTCCTGCTCCACCAGCTCCCAAGGAGGCACTCCCACTTGGCCCCCAAGCCCTGCCAGCAGCCCTGCAGGCTCCGACATGGAGGACCAACCCAGCACAACAGAAGCTGCCCTCTGTGCCCTCCAAATCATCCATCCATCTGTGCCCATCCCTACAGAGCAGGTGCAGCCCCAGGAGGAGCAGGGGGAGGCAGTGGTGGCAAGTTCCTCTTCCCACAAAAGCAGCTGCAATCCTGTTACTCCTTGTCAGGGCTGGAAACACTCACCTAGAGGGCCCAAACAACCCCAAAAGAGGAGGGCCCCTAGTGTTCAAGGACCCTCCGCAGCACTGCAAGCAGCCACTCCACTGGCAGCACTAACAGGGCTGCAGCGAGTCTTTAGATAAGAAAAAGGAAATAAATTATTCCCCCCACACAGTCTCTGGGTGCTGCTTTCTCCCTCTTCTGTTGCCTTTCCCCTTCCCCTCGGTCAGCACCCACCTGCTAGGGAGGCACAGCAGTGGAGGAACACATTCAGCACCAGTAGTTCCATGTGCAGCTGCAGTGGGAGCTGAAGGTTGAGCTCTGGGTGGGAGCCCGAGGCAAGAGGCCAGGAACTGTTGACCCTTTGCTTAACAAAGGGCAAAGGGACCTGTGACCCAGTCAGGTGACCAGACACTGAGACACAGCAGGAGCCAATGACCCCCAGACTTAGGTGTGCTTAGACTGTGAGGGTATAAAAGCCCAGGGGTTGCTTTGTTCGGGGTTCCTCATCAGAGGCTCCAGCTCAGGCTGTTACTTTGTTATTTAGTTACTGCACCAAGATTAAATTATTTTAAGGATTAGGACATCTGAGACTCTGCTATGGGAAACCTGGGGTTGGGCTGGTAAGGAAACCTGGCCTGAATGTGTCAGTGTGGGGTGTGTAGCTGCGAAGGGTCTCTGGTCCTAGCTCAGGTTGTGAAAGTATGACTGCCAAGTGGCCCTTGGATGGACAGGGAAATTTCCCTAACAGCAGTAGCCAGGGCTAGATCCAGGTGAGTCTGGGCTGTGAAAGGCCTTGCAGGTCTCCTGGAACAGTCAGCTGGGCAGCAGCCTGACAGGGAGAGTAGCAGGGAGGAGCACATTTCCCAGCTGGATGGTTCCTGGGCCTTACCTCCATTTGGAAATGTTGGCCAGCCCATGGATCAGATTCCTGATCCTCCCCAGAACCCTCTTCTGCACAGCTGTGCTTTCAGATTGGGTCAAGTCCAGCAGCACCTGGGAAGAGAGAAGCTGCAGATGAGCCCTGGGAGCAGACACTCGCTCCAGCAGCAGTGGCTTAACTCCAATCCTGGGCAAGACTTGGACCATCCCCCAAGGCTTCCTCTGACCTTGAGCAAAGTCTTGGAGGGCTCCTGTCCCTGGAGTCCCTCAAAGGCCTGGCACAAAGGCTCTGGGCCAACTCTGTGGCCAGGCAGGTGCCATCCTCTGCAGCCACTGTGCTCCAGAAGAGCTTGGTGCCAGCCTCTGCCTCCTCAGGGGAGGTGGATACCCTCCACACAGCGTGCTCTGCCTGCGTAGCACTGGGCTGGGGGCCACTCACCCAGGAGTGGGCAAACCCTCCCACACAGGGTGAGGAACAGCACTGTGATCCCCACTCTTCGCACAGGCCAGACCTCAAAGCTGTCCTGCAGCAATTTGTCGACTCTGGAGGCAGAAGAGCTGAGCACCGTCACCTCCAGCATAGTGTCCATGGTTCTCAGAGTCTGCAAGGAGGATGCAGAGTGGAAGCAGTAATTCTGCTATTCCTTCCACCCTGGGGGACTGACAGGAACTCCCAGTGCTAGGGCAGGATGCCCTTACTGCCTGGGAGAGAGCCAGGGGCACTCAGCCTGTTGGCTATATATAAATCTACATATAGCAAATTCAGTTTAAAAAATTGAATTTATTGCACATTACTACAACTGTACTGTCTATATGTAAATATACAAATATCAATATACCTATCTAAATATCCATATACCTACAGCTATATACATCTATAAATATAACTATATACAGGGGTATTCCAGGTAGCCCATTTTCACGGGCTCTCCCTTGCTAGCTTCCTCCCACGCAGAGCAGCCCTTCTGGAAAGGTACAGCAGATGGACATCTAAGAAGCAAAAGGAATACTGAGTCATTACTGGTCCTTGTGAGTGTATGCCTCCCTTGGCACCACACCTAGCAACTGTACTTCTATCAGAGATTATAAAATACAGCCTGAAAGACAGGCTCTCACTTGCGAATTTCAGGCCTGCTGTTTAAAGAACAGGAATTCTTCCAAGTTTTCCAAACTTTCAGGTTTTGAAGTACCCCAATAAAAGTTGCAGCACTAGCATTGCAAATGGCACCCGGGAGAACTCTGAACAGAGACATTCACCTCTCACAAGCAGAACTCCAGCCTTCTTCTTTCTCTGTACTGACAAAGAGACCTCGGTCCTCTCTTAAATGGTTGAAACCAATGGGCATTGTGAGCTGAGTTATTAACTAGTATTGTTATCTGGGATCTAGAAACTGCCCTTTGAAATAAGCAACAGCTCCTCCAACTCTACCATCAGCTCTTGGATCGACTATTCCGCTCTCCCCTTTCTGTAAAAGTCAGGCTCAGAGTAGCTGTCTCAGTCATCTCTAAAAACATGCAGACTCTCTTTTTACCAGGGCCCTCTGGCTCGGGGGAATTGTTCCCACAGCTCACGTTGCCAGCTGAAGTTTTCTCTTCTACCGTGACACTCCCAGGTTCACTTCCTGAAGGCTCACACTGACCCATGATATTCTCCTTAAAAGAGAAACGAATAGAAAAAAAATATAAACCCAGAGATCACTCCATATTTTCTTGTAATCTCTTTAGGGACACAATAATAACTGTTCTTCTCCCCTCCAAAAAGACACGTAACACAAGGTGAACACTGCTCATTTACATTATACATAGATTGTTTACACTGCATGTAAGAATTACAGGTTTGTACACAGGGAGGACCAGGCACAGGTAGAACAAAGGGCAATCACAACTTGCAGGATATCACAAAGTATAAAAAATGGAAAGTACTGTATTCCAACCAAATATTCATAAATTGCATTTTCCACAGAAAACAGAAAGTTAGTAACTCAATCTAACCATTTCCCTGAACTTTCAACAAAAAATCTTTGCCTTCAGTGGCAATCTTCAAAATACTCCATGATTTAAGATCAAAGACAGTATCCTATAACCTAAAAAGCTTGCACTTCATCACCATGAATGCACCTGCACTATGTATTTTTCCTATGAAACTGCACCAAAACCTGGCCAATACAGGCTAACATCTCATTCTCAATAACATGGGGTACCTTTTCATTCCCTGCTCTTTTTCAGTCTTGCTTTACAAAGCAAACACTTCACTGTCCATTAAAAGCTTGGTTCAAGAAGCCTTTTCTTCTCAGGCACGCAACAATACTCACAAGCTCTCAGTGCAGACCCCAGCACTGCTATCAAACAGAGTTACCTCCAAAAAGGCAGCCATTTCCGGATTGGATGATAACATCTCCTCCAGCAGCTGACATGCAATATCTAGTCTGACTTCTCCCTGTGACAGAAAAAGACAGAGGAAATCTATCTGCCTTCACTTCTTCAAGAACTACAGTGTTCCTGCTGTATATAAAAGCATCACAAACCACAAGATTTTTAAGAGACAGGAAAAGGTTCCTACACTGAAAACGTACATATGGACAACGCAACTGCAGGAACACAGTTCCCTGCCAATAATATCTTGTTCTTCTTCAAGTAGTTGTCCACATACACATCCTCCCAAGGGGTGATTTCCAAAAATACCTTTGCCACCACAGAGTAGGTCTGAATGCTACTAAAACATTTCATTGCCATTAGAAGCTGACAGGATACAGTCAGTAATCCAAGGGTCCTTTTTTTTTTGGTAGAATTCATATAAATTAAACAACATTCCAAGCAGAAAGAAGACAAGAAGAGTTTTTCAAAAGCAGCAAATCCTACCCTAGTGAAAAGATCAGTCCCATTTTAACAAACAGTGTCCATTCTGCTGTTTCTTCTGGAGATGCCTCAGAGTTAAAGGACTCTGGAAGGGTAATTTCTTCTAACAAAGATGAGTCATATCATGATGTTGAACAGAAACTCGTGTATATGTGAAATAGAATCTTACTTCGGAAGAGATCTAACATGAAGGATTAGACCTTAGTGCCTCATTATCCTCAGACTTTCTAGCTGAGGTAATGATTCATAAAAAGCTTCTTCCACAGATGAATAAATTAGAGAATAGGAAGCCACAGAATCACCTATTATAAGGAAAGTCATAACAGATTAAACGCTGGTGAAAGACTTGGTCTCTCAGCAGCATGAACATCAGAAGTCCCCAAAGGGAATAGCAGAAAGAGATGAGACCCTTTCTGCTGGGTATGAAGTCAAGTCCTAGTGTGGATTCATTGAGATGTGCCAGCCTGAAGATAGCCACAAACTGAGGAGGATGGAGGAAAGGTAAGGAAAGGTAAAAGCTGGAATTTGAGAAATTTTGGTTAAGCAAAGCCTTTTCATTAAAGGCAAGCCACCTTTATAATTTCATGATTTATGTTTAACCACAGTTCATTTCGCATTTTTTTCAGTTGGTTGCTTTTTGTTTGCTTTTTTTTTAATATGAACAAGGTGTTTCACTTTTGCTGCACTGCTTGTTTGTTGCCTTAAGTAGCCAGGATTTTAAGCAAGATTCAGGTTACCAAGTCAACAGCCAGGGATGAGCTTATCCCTGATAGAAACAAATCAACCAACCAACTCACACTGCAACTTCTTCTGCCTCTTCTTAGGGGACCTCAGTCTGAAGCTGTTATAACACAGATCATCTTCTTGGGTGCATTACAGGACCTCGTACACCAATAGGAGAAAGTGCCTCCACCAAGATACAATTGACATCTTTTTAGTTTATCTAGAGAAGATGTGACAGACAAGGATCAGAGGGAGGCAGAAATGAAACAATGAACCGTGATAAAACATTGCAGAGTCAGGACTCAGAAGACTTAATAGTTTGCTGGTTCCTGGAGCTCATGTGGAAAAATAATCTCATTTACAAGACTGGTGAAAGAGAAGGTGAGCATTTCACTTATAAGACCGGCACAGTGTACCCAGGAAGTTAAATGTCACCACACCTTTTCAGGGACTGCAAGGACTAAACCAAAAACTTTGGAATGATTTGCTGTCTCAAACATTGATCTCAGCTGTCTGAGAGACAAGTTCTTTGATTGTGACTTCCCATCACTCAGACTGATCCTAAAGTCCTGGATGAAAAAGTAGCTCATGGTGAAAATGAGAGGACAAAGATGCGCTGTGTGAAAAAGAAATATTAGAGTATCAATGGCCTTACTGGACATTGGCTATTTCTATCCTTTCATGTTATTGTGGCCATAACCCAGTCCTCTTGGATATGCTTGTATGTAAAAAAAAATCATGAACACAAGACAAAGGTTGATATTTGCAAGATAGGAAACTGGATGATCACGCTTGGGTAAGGGATCAAGCCTTTTTTTAACACAAGTAAGTATAAATTGCTTTGCTTGTCCTCTGTGAGAGAAAAAATCCCAAGGGATATACATTATGCTGCAGTAGAAAAGGAAGCCTACTTCCAATCCTTTGCCATTTGATAAGCCAGGCCCTCCAAATAAAGTGTGGTTTCCACTAGAATCATATAAATCATTTATAGTAAATACTGTAGTTCTCTTGAATAAGACATCTCTGAGGTGGAGCCAGTTCCAAAGATTATCATAGTTTTTCTCAGTCTGCAATTGAAACTCAGGGCTCCCAGAGTCTTTTCAGAATATTAAAGACTCTCTTTTTGTCCAGGCAAAGAAATTATTCAAGGACAAACATAGACTAGTTAACTAAGACAAATTCTGGTGGAGTCAAGACAAAAAACTTCTGAAGAAAAAACCACTCCACTGATGAGGACACACACTATGCTGCTGCCCTGAAACCTCACTTGAATGACAAAATTACTCTTTCCCTCTTCAGTGCTTCTTTTAATAGATATTTGTAAACCCCAATATTTTCACCTTCTCAAGGAGATCCACATTTGAATTTAGCTCCTTCATTACAGAAGGCTATAAGCCTACACTTCATTCATACAGTCTTCTCCACTTTCCCTGGGTGGCAGGATGCTCCACTCACCTGGAAATCACTGCCACTGGTGTTGGTCAAAGCTGCAGAACCAGCAGTGCCAGTCACAGGATTGAGGACTGAACAATTCTGCAGTGTGGCTGCAAGAATTCAAACATAGTCATCAGGCTTACAGAAGCTGTGTTTGGTATGCAGTGTGTTTGGTATACTTCCTTTGATTGAACATTTCAGGAATCGCACAGAGGACTAAATTCCAGAAATGTATTCTTACTTCCCAAGTGATCTGAAGACTGGTTTCTTCATTTTAAAAAACATGTATTCTAATTGATGTGTACAGATATTAAAAATATGGATTGTAAATTTTATATACAAACACATAGAAACTTCATAATCACAGTCCTTTGTATCTTCCCAAAGATTTTTAAAAGAAATAACTTGTCTATTTAGCTCTCACCTACCCATTCAGTCCTCTTGAAAAACTGTTTAGCTTGCAATTCCTTTGCAGGAAACAGCTGATAGAAAGCTTACTTCCAGGTCTTTTCCTCTTTGCACAAAACTGATAGGATGCTACAGCTGACCCTGCACACGACCAGCCTATCATCTCACAAAGACTCAGTGAGAGCTTGCTACAATTAATCATCCCTACAGCTGGGCAAGGAGCAGTATGTCTCATCTGGCAGGGCTGGGCCAGCTCCACAGGGAGCAGGACAGGGTATTCTCAGTGCAGCACACACAGAGACTATACTGTAGCCTACAGGCAGACTGGGGTACACATGAACCATGTTCGCTGTGCTTACTGGCAGCCTTTCTGAAGAACAGTCCTTGTCCTATACTGGGTGAACTGAGCTGAGCAGCCACCAGCAAGGACAGGTAACCTTCCCCCATCAGGGGAGTGCCAATTTTCAAATCCCATGCCACCCTCAAACCCATCATAGTTCCACATGGACCACTGCATCTCACCGGTCTTGCTGGCCTTGCCAAGGGTCGAGGGTGACCGCAGCAGGTCCCTGTTCACTGCTGTGCCCAACTGCTGCTGGAAGTGGCTGGGTGGGTGGCTGGGCACCTCCACGCCAGCTGTCAGCTTCTCTGTGTGGGCCCTCATCAGGCTCTTGAGGTTTACAAGGATTTTGTGGTGGTCATGGTAACGGTCAGGGCATGGCCCAGCAGAGCTGCAGCCATCATCACCTGCCAGGGCTGGCCCAGGCCTGGACCTCACTACCTTCCTCCCACGCAGAGCAGCCCTTCTGGAAAGGTACAGCAGATGGACATCTAAGAAGCAAAAGAAATACTGAGTCACTACTGGTCCTTGTGAGTGTATGCCTCCCTTGGCACCACACCTAGCAACTGTACTTCTATCAGAGATTATAAAATACAGCCTGAAAGACAGGCTCTCACTTGTGAATTTCAGGCCTGCTGTTTAAAGAACAGGAATTCTTCCAAGTTTTCCAAACTTTCAGGTTTTGAAGTACCCCAATAAAAGTTGCAGCACTAGCATTGCAAATGGCACCCGGGAGAACTCTGAACAGAGACATTCACCTCTCACAAGCAGAACTCCAGCCTTCTTCTTTCTCTGTACTGACAAAGAGACCTCGGTCCTCTCTTAAATGGTTGAAACCAATGGGCATTGTGAGCTGAGTTATTAACTAGTATTGTTATCTGGGATCTAGAAACTGCCCTTTGAAATAAGCAACAGCTCCTCCAACTCTACCATCAGCTCTTGGATCGACTACTCCGCTCTCCCCTTTCTGTAAAAGTCAGGCTCAGAGTAGCTGTCTCAGTCATCTCTAAAAACATGCAGACTCTCTTTTTACCAGGGCCCTCTGGCTCGGGGGAATTGTTCCCACAGCTCACGTTGCCAGCTGAAGTTTTCTCTTCTACCGTGACACTCCCAGGTTCACTTCCTGAAGGCTCACACTGACCCATGATATTCTCCTTAAAAGAGAAACGAATAGAAAAAAAAATATAAACCCAGAGATCGCTCCATATTTTCTTGTAATCTCTTTAGAGACACAATAATAACTGTTCTTCTCCCCTCCAAAAAGACACGTAACACAAGGTGAACACTGCTCAGGTGGTTTACATGGTAAGTGTTTTAAATTCAGAAGGTTGCCAAATCGAAACTCAGGCTCTTACAAAGTGTCCTATTAATCAAAACATGAAATCAGAAAACTAGAATACACCAAGTGAGAGTACATCTCCTCACAGTCTGAATTGCACCCTCGCTTACTACACTTTCTATAAGGAACAAGCCAGGAAAAATCCAGGTGCCCTCTTAGTTACCAACACATGTATTGTTAACAAGAGATCTCGCTCAAACCACTGCAAAGGGCTGTGTGGTGCAAAACTGTGTACACATGAGCCACATATATCTGGCTGGGAACCTCAGCTCACCCCATTCATTTGCTAAGTCATTAAATTCTAATATGTTGCTTGCTTTTTGGAGCCCTCTGCTACCACTCCATATATTTTGCAGGCAACCATTTACTGAATGGGCATGTTTCCATGATCATGACACTAATCTGTAGGGTCAAAAAAATCCCAGAAAGCCAGACAACATAGCTAGGTTTTTATTCCACTGAGGAAATTAAGGGCCAAAGTTAAGTACCTAGAATTTACTTTTAGCCATAAAGATATTCTCACTATGAACTGTTCAAGAATATCTCTTCTGTGAACAGCCTATCCAACAGTATCCTAAAGATGGGTGATTGTGCACGGCCTGTAATGTTTCATTCTATTAAGGAAAAGAAAATTTTTGAAAACTGGTAGGTGTGAGTTTACAGAAGACGAAAGAGCATCAAACTGGGTAATAAGACATGGGTAATTCCAAAAAATTGCATTTCTCACCTTAAGTCTGGCCTTACTCAACCTTAGATACTTCAAAAGGCAATGCCTGTGCATATTAATAGAAATACAGAGACATTATTTGGCAAAGCTGTATTGTAATATGCAAAAAGACCTGTGCCAATACAGAAATAGAACTCTCCAGGAAAGTCTGAGAAGATGCAAGAGTTAGAGAAAGAACATTTCTAGTAAAAAGAGGGAATCTTTCAAACAAAAGGCCTAATAGTCCCCAAATTGCTCTTAAACACAGAATAAGCTCCAAGTCTTTAACCACATCACATCCAGGACCAAGATCATCCTTCTCAGTAATTACACAAGTCATGAGGCCTTAAAACCAAAACACCTGCTCCCCAACAACTCCATGGCTCACACACTTAATCCCTCTGTTCCTAACAAGGAAGTCTAGACCCCAACTGCCAAAGGCCTTCAACAATGGAAAAGATACACTTCTCAACGTGCAGTTCAAAAGCTGTCAAAACTGCCAGAGTTCAAAGTGCAGGCAAGACAATACACTGAGCAGGCATTAAGGAAGGAATCCTGCCACCTCCATATGCTCTGGCGAAAGGAGGTACTCTTCCGTACACAGCACTGAGCAGAAGAGTCCAGTCCAGGCTGGAGCTTTGCAGGAATTGGAATACACAGCTTTGATTGGAATATACAACTCTTTCTGGAGAGACACGCAAAAGGAAGATGACGAATCTTCGTAACATGGAGATCAATAGTAGGAAGTTTACATCAGCTAGATCTCCAAGCTAGAAAGTTTATTGAAGGCAACAAGATACTGAGAGAACAACCAAACTGCAGCTTCAGCACATATACCAACATGGCATTTTGAGCACCCACATGCAAGGCAGATCTTGTGCAGCAGCAAGGCAGATCTTGTGCAGCAGCAACTGATGCTGAGAACCTCTTGCTTTTCCTTTGTGTTGAAAACCAAAAGAAGGAGAGCCCGCATTTGGTGCCACAAGAGAGTGACCTCTCCCATGCCCCTCACTGCACGTGAGACTTACAGTTTTGTACACACGGAGGACCAGGCACAGGTAGAGCAAAGGACAGTCACAACCTGCAGGATGCCACAAACAACTGAAGATGCTTAATACCAACCAAATGTTCATAAATTGTATTTTCCACAGGAAACAGTAAGTTGGTAACTCAATCTAACCATTTCCCTGAATTTTCAACAAAAAGCCTTTTTCTGAATTTTCAACCAAAATCCTTGGCAAAAATACTCTCTGATTTAAGACCAAAGACAGTATGTTATAACCCAAAAAAGCTTGTACTTCATCACCACGAATGCACCGGCACTATGTATTTTTCCTCTGAAAATAAGCAGCCAAACTTGGCCAACACAGGTTAACACGTCTCATGCTCACTAACGTGGGATACTTTTGATTCCCTCTTCTTTTTAAAATATTGATTTAGCAAGCAAACCCCTCATTAAAGATGCCTTTACTTCTCAGGCGTGTGACAACACTGAAAGCCCCTCCGTGCAGACCCCCAGCCATCGCTATGCCGAAGTCACCTCCAAAAACGCAGCCAGTTCAGGGTGGGACGAAGCAAGCATCTCCTCGAGGGCCTGAAACACCGCCTCGAGATC